ATATGCCTACCTACGAGCCGAGTGACTTCATCTGTTACGGTCGGCAACATTACATCTCGATGAATTATGTCATTTCTGTCGAATCTGTAAGCATCGTAGGTACGATGCTTCTGACATTGACTCAAGTTAATTTTATGCATTTTTTTGTAGCACATTTAAAAGTATACAAGTATAGTAGGAAAATTCATTTTTATTTTGTTAATCATAAAATACAGAACAGCATATGCTACAATTTTCTATCCAAAACCAAGTGAGAAAACAACTTACAATTAGGTATATTTTTTTCTAAAATCTGACCTTTCACTCGCTCAAAGAAAGGGGATTCAAAATAGCAACTTTTGGTTGAAAAGTTAACCTTTTCAAAATGTTCCGCAAATACTCAAAGCTTCAAATATATGTTAAATTTAAAATTATGATACATAGTATATGTTAAAAAAAATATTTGCCCTATAACACCTTATATTGTATTTGAAAATAGCATCCGAAGTTAAACATAAACATTTTTTGTGTTATAATTTTCTATTTCAATTTTGTTTTTTTTTAATCATGTATGTTTATATTTTAATTTAAACAATAAAGTCATACACGAGGGAGAGAATTAATAGGAAAAAATACCCCCATTAAATCCTTTCCTTTTATATGAATAAAAAAAAATTAAGTTTTAGTTTTAAGGGAGAATTAATTATTAATGTCAATTAATTAGGTTTATTGGTATTGATTGTCTTTACCAAAAAAATGTTCTAAATAGTTTATGACAAATTATAATTTCAATTTTAAATATAAAATAATAAATAATTAAAGAAGGTTGGAATAATAAAACTTAGAAAGTTTCTATTCCTTCAAAAAGTTAAACACAATTAAAAATTTCACATTTTTGTATTTTTGCAATGGTTTACAACATAATAAATTTAAAAAAAGGCGATTTTTCAAAGCTAATTTTTTGTTGGTTTTGGTAAAATACCAAAGTTTAAATTTTTAACAAAGACAGTCAACATGTGTAACAATATTGTGTGAAATTTTTATTATTTTTTTGTCCCACAGAAAAAATCTAAGTTAAATTTACCTAAAAATCGTTTTTTAGGAATTTTAACTTTTTTATACTTGTGTTACTAAAAAAAGGCCAAAGTAAAAAACTTCAAAACACAATTAAATTATAATGCTGAATAATGTTAATATGATGTAAAAAAAATTTGATTAAAAAAATTGTATTTCATCGTTAATTTTAATTTTGAAAATGTCATTTTTTTACAAAAACAAAAAAAACCTTTTTCAAAATTACTGAAAAATTACATTAAAAATAAAAAATCCTATTGTTAATTACTAGACATGTTAGAAGACCTCATAATGAAAAAGTGATGAAATGTTCAAGTCTTTAGTATAAATACATAGGTTTCAGGGATATTTTTACAAAATACCGGTATTTTGCAATTTAAAAATTTTTACAGGTCATAAATCTTCTTTCACCTAAAAATTTGTTTTTTGGAATTTTTTTTTTATTTAAATACTAGGCAACTCATTTATGAAATTTCAAAAAAAATTTAAATGTTCCCGCGACTACTCTGGATGATTTGATATGGATTGACCCTTTAATAGAGTAACATGCTCAAGGATGAGCAATTAATCGAAATAATTAACTCAAGTTAAGTTATGTTAAGTATGAACAATGTTGATAAATTTACAGTTAAAAGTTACCATATAAAAATTTAACTAGCTAAGTTGAAAGATATGTTGAAATTTTTTTTTAAATTAACTAGTGTAAAATAAGTTTATTTAATTTAAAATTAATTTTTGGGCTAAAATGTTTAAAATCATTTTTTATTGGTCAGTGTTGCAAGGAAAAACTAAGAATCTATTTTCAATTGAATAGGAAGAAAATATTAATGATACAATTTTTTTTATTTATTTGTACATTTTGGTGTTGATGTTTTATCTTTAAAACCATGTATTAAAAAAAAAACAATAGTTAAAAATTACATAAATTTTTGGAAAAATTCAGAAAATTATATTTATTGTTACATGAATGTAATATTTGCGATAGGGAAAAATTCAAGGTTTTTTTTAAATTAAACCACATACGCAGCATATAAAGACATACATTTTTTATGAAATTTTGAATTGAGCTTAACTGTATTTTAACTAATTAACTAGAAAAAGCTAAGTTATTTCAATGGAAAACTAAACTAGCTAAGTTAAAAAGTTTATTAGAAAAATAATTAACTATTGAACATGCCAATAAAGGAATACAATTAAATATAAAGTTAAAAGTATAACTATATTTATAATTTCTAAGATAAATTCAATCATTAACAATTAATTTGAAGTAAGGGTCAACTTAAGTTTTAGATATAAAATGCCTTAATGTTTCATTTGTCGAATTATTTGTAGTGACACGAGAGACGGCAAAAGGAACAGTAATTCGTGTAGATCTCAGAGATGCCTTAAAAAAAATTAGTAAAACAAGTGAAAAAGATACAATTCCATTCAATAAATTTATCTCTCTCTACGCATCTTCTTTCAACCAGAGAAAAAACCTGAAGTATACTAACATAACCATAAATTGCATAGAAAATGTTGGCAAACTTACGCTGGATAGGTTCTTGCAGTCTAAAATCATTAGCGGTATAGAGATGACATAGTCCCTCGTTGTTTCGTAAAACGAGGAGCCCCGCGACCCCCTCCATTTTTGACAGCCGTCACCCTACTACGTATATATGGTAGTTTGACCAACACTGCGTAACCTAATAATAAAATAAAGTATTTAAAATGCCTTACATTAAATGTGTGAGCTAGGATCAAGGTCATAGGCTAACTTAAATCAAGGATTTATAAGATAATTAACCATACGCCGAATAATGTCCACACCAAGACAATAGGAAAATACTATCGGGGTCCTAAAAAAAGTAAAAACCTGACATTTAGAAAGGTTAAAATATAAACGTAATGCACTAAATCGTTCAGTGATCGGTCAAACTTGCAATTTTCGACATTCATCAACAGAGTGCACTTACAAATAAAATTTGATGTCATCATCAAAACAATGAATAGTGCCACACTATTTATAAGTAAAAAAAAATAAGTAAGAAAGATTGATAACCCCTGAAGGTATTCCACATTGAGATGGAAATAGCTTTGACTTTATACTAAACCTATTAACTTATTGATATCTGTAATTAAGATATGACCTAAACCCTTAAGAGTTTAACCAATTCCAAATTCACTAAGAACATGAGTGAGAACGATTTACTGAATCAAAAGGATTTTTGAAATCAGTATATACAGAGTGTTTCACCGTTATTCACTAATTTGATTATAAAAACTAATGTTATAACTAGTAAATCATGATGATAAATCAAAAGTATTACTAGTGATAGTAGAACGACCGTGGCAAAAGCCGTG